AGTAGTTTGACCAGTAGCGTGCAGGCATTGTATATAATTGAACAATCGTGGCATGCGATCTACATTCAGAACATTCAAAGCAATGCAAATATGTGGACATTCAGAGCTGGGTGGATTGTAGTCCATTAGTGATTACAGATTACATAATAAAAACTGTAGTTAGTATCGTAATCTAGGTTACTCATTTTAGGTATTAATGCACTGCTGACTACATTTTTTAGATTACTTTTAGATTTCTTTTTATCTAACTTGATTTAAATTTATCATTAACAGTACCATACTGATGTAAAAGAGCGAGAGAGAAAAGAAACGGAGCGAGAGAAAAAAATAAAACAGAAATAGACATGAATAGAAACGCGAATGACAAGCTAACCGGCTAATGAATGCTAACGCGCTGCACTCGCAGTTTTAGAATAAAAGCAAACTAATCAGATTAGTTTGATAGATAATATCAGAAATATGGTGGGAATTAAGTTATATTTGATCTCTTTAAACAACAGAGAGTGATAGTAAGAAAGAGATTCAACAGAAAAGTGAAGCTACACGGAGCTACAATCACAAACCACTCAGCAGCACCGCAAACCACACAGCAGCACCAAGTCATCCACAGCGTTGTCGCTATAGGTAGTAGTTGGTGCATATGCTTGGATAATAGTGATGCCATAATCCTGACCAATGAAGCCTTGTGCCTTGTTTCGTTCTACACACCTCAGACAGACCACTAACGTCCCATCTGAACCACTTGATAACTTCCATTTTTCTAATGTGTCCTTGAGTTCCATGTCCCGACTGACGCCAGATGTTTGGCAATGATTAGCCTTACCACATCTTTGTTCCTTCCCTGTAACCGATTTTTTGAAATAGGACCCAGGGTTCCCATAGACCTACGACAGTGCGCTTGTTTGTCCAGGCGACTGCCCAGCTGGCATCTCTATTTAGTTGTCTACTCATGGTTGTTTCTGGTGGGTTGTTTCACAAGGTGATTCCACATCATTTTCCTTGCTAGCTAGTTCTCTAGCATAGGTAACACCATTGACCTCATTGATAAGTTCGTCCGCTGTTTAGATATGAATATATTGAATATTGTGGTGAAAATGTTGACATGCTCTAAAAAAAGATGGTTCTTTTTACACAGTTCTATTTAGAACCATATTGTCCTGAACAACCCTTTTACCAAAATGTTTTTTTTTGTGTGTTATATATTATTACTTGGGTTTAAGCATAAACATGCCCAGTCACAAAAAAAAAAAAAAAGAATAAAAATAAAAACAGTACTCCCCGCATTCTTCTTTCGTGCACATAATAACACATATGCAAGTACAGAAGGAGCATATTGCTTTCATCTCTGCATCCCCTATAACAGTATATTCTTCAAAGGGAGAAATACTCCTTTACCATCATAGCAGTATTGCATCATTCTTGTGGGCACAGCTGCCCCTGAATCACTCCCTGCAAAGAGGACACAAATATCAACTCGTCTTAAAGGAAAAAAAAACAAAGAAGAAGGGATCTCAGCACCTTCTGATGTTTTTTGGCCATAATGACCTTTCAGAGATCCATTCTTGGTTTCCCATGAGGTTGACGCCTTGTAGGGGGGCTCAAGCAGCAACACTTGCCTTCTGATCTTGCCAACAACTGGCGGCCAGCAATAGGATCAGAAGGGGGGCTGAAGGATGCTGGCCATGGTGGGGGATGTAGCGCTCAAAAACTGCTGACTTAACTTTCACCTCCCTAAACTTTTGGATCACTGTCTTAATGCCAGTGCCTGGAAGTCTGGAAGGTGAGACCGGGCATCCAAGAGAAAAGATCTTTCTTCCTCTTTCAGCCCCGAGAGGTTAACCCAAAGATGCCACTCCATGGCCACCCGATCAGCAAGAGATCGGCTGATGGCATGGGCTGTTTGCTTGGTAGCCCAGAGGGCAAGATCGGTTGTACAGTGGAGCTGCAGTACTGCATCTGGATCTACACCCCCACTGCAGTCAGCGTCCTTCAGTAAATCGGCTTGGTTATGCCTGCAGCACCGCCATGGTGTGCAAGGCACCACCAGCCTGGCCCGCCGCCACGTATGGTTTGCCTACTAGTTTTGATGTAAACTGGCAGGGCTTAGAGGGCAAAGCGGGAGCCTTCAAAGAGGACGCCATGCCAGATGAAAGGTAACCTGCTAATGATTCCTCCATCCGGGGCATCCTCGTATACCTGTGTCCCTCCAACCTCTTTACATTAGAACAATTGGATCTAAGGGGTGGAAAACATGAGCAGAAAATGGTTTCTCTCAGGATTTCAACACTACTTTGTGGTGCTCTGTGAGAAATGGAAGGCTCGCGGGAGGCCTGTGACTTGCCAGGAAATGGTCATCTATCTCCTGTTTCTCCACTGACCAATGCAGACTCAGTCTGGCGATGGTGTAGGCTATAACGTTTAGGATATCTCCTGATATGCAGGGACTGGGAAGGAGGAAGCCTCACTCACAATGTCCATCTCAACTCCAGTCACATCTAGTTCCTCAGGACTAGAGCGGGCAAGCAACATGCTCTCCATCGGACCAGAAGAAACCGGCGAGCAGGCTTCTGGATTCAGTGTTAACGCCTTGGAACTGGTGAGAGAGGATTGGCAAAGTGAAAGACCTGTCCCAAGCTCCTCAGCCAGATCCACCTGTGATTCCAATGACTTTAGAAGAGGGTCCTGAGCTACGGGGTGTATTCGCCTGGCTCCCATCCCCCCTAAAGAGAGCCTGGTGGGAGAGGACCATTTTCACTGTGAAACTGTCACAGTGCTCCCTCAAGGGCTGACCAAGGGTGCTCCGCTCCTAAACAAATGACGCAGAGATTGTGTGTGACGTTAGGAGTGATATAATGATCCCACAGCAGCACATTTTCTAAACTTGTTCACTCATTTTACTTTTTCTTGTTAAAAAAAAAAGAATGGTAGTGTAGTTCAGAAGAACAGACATCAGGTACACGTCAGATTTAGAATTTTTGGAAAGGGGCTCAAATCAGCTGGCAAAAAATTTAATCTCTTTAGCCCAATTCGGACGCTAATTGTTTCTCATGGAGACTTAAATGATTTTCAACATTTACAGGGGTTAGTCAGGTGATTTTATTGCTGTCCGAATCCAGAATGCCTGTGTTTTTCTCCCACCACCTGTGTAAAATTCCACGCCAAATTACCTACTGTTTTTTTGACAAACACCAGAGTCATGTGGTAATTTAATTGCCGTCTGAATCAACATCTCTGAGTTTACAAGAAGAAATCGATTCAAAATTCAATGTTTATATCCTTTTTGGCAACTGTCAAACACCATACGGTAACTGTTGCACTTCACTGTAATTTACATGCATATTAATTACTGAAAAAAGTACTAAAATGCTGAAAGGTATTTACAAGGACAATATTTCATAACTGCTCCACCACAGCGAGTGGGAGCTGTTATGAACAAAAAGAAGAAAGAGAAGAAAAGCATTTTAACATTTGAAATGGGTCATTATTATGGCAGAAGCAGGTATGCAATACAGTTAATTTTTTTTAAATATGTATTATATAGGCCTACAATTACATACATAACAATGTAAACCATTTTTGTTTACCTTATTTCTGCTAATCTCCACATTTTTAATGACATCCATAATTTTGAGAGATAAAATGCAAGACAGAAAAACATTTCAACTATAGCACCTCTATTTTCCTATTTTAAACAAGTTAGCATTTAAAAGGAGATTTAAAGGGGGTCATGACATGATAAACTAAATTTCCCTTGATCTTTTGACATAGAAGAGGTCTTTGTATGCTTAATACATTGTGCAAGTTTCAAAACTTAAATGTCCTCATCAACAATAAAAAAGCATTTGTGTAATAATCTGAAATGAGTAGTTGTTTACAATAAGATTGCGATGCCAGGTAGACGATGTGCCGTTCCTGGCTGTGGAAAAACAACATGTTTGTATACGCTGCCGAAGGATCCTGACGTCAGAGAAAAATGGATTCAGTTTATTTTTAGCAAACGCCCCAGTCATGTCAGTGCTAATTTACGCATGTGTTCAGTACATTTCACCATTAACTGTTTTGAGAACAAATCGCAGTATGATGCTGACTTTGCCAAACATACTTTTGCTAAAAGATCAGTGCATGCCAACTGTTCTGGACTCAACAACAGCAAACTGTAAGTAAAGTATTTCATGTAAAAACTATTTTTAAAACGATAATGGCAGTAATGACGGTAATGGATTTTAGCCAATCATAAAAGTGGGTGGTTACACTGACCTCTTAAAGGGAAAACACCCCAAAACCGACTGTTTCAGTCAGAGGATGAGAAACAGGGTGGAAAAAGGTAATAAATCACTACATTTTCCAAAAAACTTTAGTAATATTATAATTAAACCTCAGGGAACATAATAATAAAAAAAAAAACTTGGAAAAAAAAAAAAGAAAAAAGCATGACCCATTTAAATAATCAAATATTAAATAGGATTTTATTGAATATTAATTTATTCGTATTATACAAAGCATATAACATTTTATTTACAGCAGACAATCATGCAACTGGCCACATGAGCAGCGCATTCCCGGGTTCGTAGGATCACAGAACTTGCTTCTCCACTGTGAATAAATCACCATCTGAATCCATGAGTTTTATCACTGAGGTGCCATGTACATTTATTTTTACATATGTCTACTTGAGAAACAATTACCATCCGAATAGGGCTATAGACTTTTTTGTTTGCTGAAATTGGTTAACTGTGTGAATTAGACATTTAGCTAATTTTTTAACCATTTAATGTACTTTCTGAACAAACTGATTTACTTGGACTTTCCAGTGCTTCATTATATAGGACAGTTCAGGATAGTGTGTTGCATTATTGCCTCATCTTCATTGCCTCATAAATTAGTACAAGCTATTTATTATACTTGTATAATATTATATAATATTATATTTGGAAGTGTCTTAGTGCCAAATGCTTGTAGGTCTCAAAGATGACAAATAACTGTATGCTTCTTCTCCTCAGGTTTTCATGACCGTGAAGGCAAGCAGTACTGCCAGAAGTGTTTTCTGGCTCTCTTTGCCTCTCGTTGTCAGGGTTGTTCCCAGCCCATAATGGAGAATTACATCTCAGCTCTAAGTGCTCTGTGGCATCCACAATGCTTTGTTTGTAGGGTAAGTAGTTGCTGGATTCTGAGGTACAATGAATTTGATTGTGTTATACCATATGAAGGGTTGTGATGTTACTGTCAAGGCAGTCTTAAGCCACATGTTGCAATAGTGTACAACAAAACATTTTATAGCTCACTCAAACTTCTTTAGGAAGACCAGGGTTATTGCTTTTTACTCCAGTAAGTATTTCTTATGGTGCGTTTATTATAGATTTATTAACAAAAAAATAAATAAAATAATTCTAATGAACATTTCCGCTGCTAGAAATACAGGGGGAAAAACTTACCCTGATAGGACATTTATGAAGCATCTTCGTTAAAATCTTGTTGAAACCTACCTAAAATCTAGTTAAAATGTAGTTAAAATTATTTGCTCTTGCTTGAATCAGAGCATGATTGATGCCCAGAGCAGATTAGATGTTTGAACATACATATACCAACTGATAGTAAGCTTGCAACAAAATTAAGAAAGAAAAAAAAAAAGTATTTCTACTTTTTTGTCCTCACAAGCTGCACACAAACACAGACAAACAACTTTACCACCATAGTCCAATTCATGAATAAATGACTCTACTGAGTTGTTTCTTTTTTAGTGAATTAAAAATGTACGGCATAACCAACGCAGTCAGATTCATAAACAAATGATTCTTATGAACCAGGTCAATCTAATAAATCCTTGACTGAATAAACTTTGTCAGTGCAGTTAATAAATCAACATCTGACTCGATGAAATGAAGCTCCTAAACAAATTTTAAGGAGGAGCTTGCCCATCTGATCTTCCACTCATTACGTCACTGTGCCATCCTTCTGGTATTTGTCCATGAAATGTTTGATTCTTTGAAGATCTAACTATTTCCACTGACAAGTAGTTCTCTTGCCCTCCATAGTCTCAGCAGTCACCTTCAGAGCCCTATCCACAGCCATCCAGTTGTGGTGTCTCCTGTGTGTGACAATCTCAGCATTCTGATAGGTCCTCAAAATGTAATTCCAGAAGACATCTTTTCCCTTTCCCGGCTAGAATGCCTTATCACAACCTCTAGTCGCCCCGCTATTCACATTCATCATCGTCGTCTTCTTTTCATTCCTTATTTAACACACCTGATTTAGATCAGCCGTTCAAGAGGAGAGAGCTCCATTAACTTAACTGAAATATATAACATTATATTAAATATTTGTATGTTAATTAAATATTAAATAATATCTAAATTTTACTCAAATAAAAGTCTTACCTAGACTAACAAATACTAAAATGCTTACATAGACATCTACATTCACGTCAGAATTTAGAGTAGAAAAAAAATATATATATAGTAGAGATTTTCTTATTTTGGTATTTTTGATGCAAAAACTTTGTAAGGAAACCTCTAAAAAAAAATCACTATTTTCCCATTACTCTATGTAAGAGTCTCAGAAAGATGTTAAACTAAAACCAATATCATGAAAACCAGAACCAAACCAAACTAGAACCAATATCATGTTATTATCATGAGATATTCAGGATATGTTCAGCAAAAATTAGCAGCAGAAAATTATTCAGTGTGATTTTTAGACTAATGATCAAGACTGATCATGAATCGTGTTCACACTTTTATCCAAAGTGATAGTTATTATAAAAACACATTACTAAATAGCGCAAGCTTATTTAGCAATATTAGATTGAAATATTAGAAAAAGCCCCATAAACCCACCCATAGACCCTCCCCTCAAAGAAATCAAGAAAGTAGTCAAAAGTGGACAAAAGAGACAAATTAAAACACCAGGTGTAAACGGGAGCATCTCTCCCTCGACTACCTATGATACTATCAACTAATACACATCTTATTATTATGTGTAGATGGCAATTAATTGGGCAGTCCTTATCCATATTGGCCTTACACACAGTGCTGAAAATGAGAAAATGTACCCCCAACTGTGAGATCAAAAAGACCCAATTTACATCAAATGGCCTACAGCCTTGTGTGCACTAGCATGCCTAAACCATATAGATAACATTAGTACCAAATGTTTTGAGCAGCATTTGGTCACACAAACAAGAGACATATACATTTAGTCATTTAGACGCTTTATTCCAAAGTGACTTACAAATGAAGACAATAGAAGCAATTAAAACCAACAAAAGAGCAATAATAAATTTTATTTAGGGAGAAGTATAATTTCTCCTATTTTTGCCCAAAATTGGACTGAGTGCTAAACACATGGAATGTCTGTTTCACTTATACTGGACGCCAGAGGGTGCACACATGCAGAAACTCCACATATGCCTCACAGAAGTAATAGAAATCATGATGTTCCAGGAAATCCTTATTATGGGCAAAGGCATCCAGCTAGCACTGTGACTGAATAAAAAGAAGATATAAACGCTTTAACTGATCAAACATGAAGACAGTAAACACACGACACGACAATATATGGTTTATCTGTGTTCTTCAAGCCACCTCTGGTATTTAATGTTCATAATATATTTAAGTATATTTATAATCCAATGCTAATCAACATAGACTTTATTATAGTATCCACCTTATTTTTCAACGTGGAAGTAAGCCATTTTCTGTGAATGTGCGAGACTTACGGTTCATTAACTGCTGTAGGGAAATAACGAGAAGAATAACAGTGCCGTGAACGGTAAAACTGGTAAAACTGCACTACAAACCAGTGTGCTCATAATTAAGGTAATACTGTTACGTGGAGGCGTGACAACGGGGTTGGTGGATCCAAATGCAGGCTTTATTCAGAAGAGTGGTCAAAACAGGCAGGGTCGAAACAACAGCAAACAATATAATCCAGGGCAGAGACAAAAGAGTAATCCAAAAAAAAGGCAAAGGTCAGGTCAGGCAGCAAACAATCATAAAAACCAGCTAAGCAGTTCAGGGTCAAAGAACACGAATGCATGGAAACAAGGAAAAACACAGGAACTAGGAAAAGCTACAGGCTAGCAATACTCAGCAGTGTGTGTGTGTGTGCATCTTATATAGTGTGAGACTGATGAGGTGATGAGATACAGGTGATTGCAATGGGTGCTGAGCCCAGGCAAAGGATTATTGGAAATGTAGTCAGGAGTAGAGTGGCAAGAGTCAGGGGTGGAGTTCATGGACACTCCAGCTGGAGATCATGACAGAGCCCCAACCCTTCCCCCCACCCCTTAAGGAGCGGCTTCCAGACGCTTATAAACGAGAACATAAATGAGTCCAGGAGGGAGGTGGAGCGGAGGCGGAACAGGGGGAGGGATGGAGAGCCAGGTCCATGTGGAAGTGAGGGAACTGAGGACTGAGGCAAAGCCAGAGGAGCAGGGTGCCAGGGCAGAGCTGAGGACCACCAGGTCGGAGCAGACAGGACTGAAGATCCCCATGGCGGAGCAGATGAGCACCACAGCAGAGCAGATGGGATCGAAGACCCCCACAGCGGAGCAGATGACCACCACAGTAGAGCAGATGGGACTGAAGGTCACCACGGTGTAGCAGATGACCACCAAGGTGGAGCTGATGGAGCAGGGAACCACCATGACGGATCAGGCTGGACTGCAATAAAGAGCACAGAGAGGTTATCAACGGCCTCTGTGGCGAAACAGGACAGGCAGAGAGTTCATAAATGGCCTCCTTGGCCGTGGCTGGACAGACAGAGAGTTCATTAACGGCCTCCTTAGCCGTGACTGGACAGGCAGAAAGTTCACAGATGGCCTCCATGGCCATGACAGGACGATCAGAGGGTTCATAAGTGGGCGCCAGTGCCCTGAGAGGAGATGAGGTGGACACCACCCCCACCTCTGGAGGTTCTGCAGTGAGTGCCGCCACCTCTAGAGGTTCTGTAGCATGTGCCGCCACCTCTGGAGGTTCTGGAGTGAATTCAGGAAGTGGAGCGGGCTCAAGAGTGGACTCGGGGGCTGGAGCGGGCTCCTGAGTGGACTCAGGGACTGGAGCGGGCTCGTGAGTGGACTCCTTACTAAACACTGGGACTGGAGCAGGCTCAGGAGTGGATCCGAGGACTGGTGAAGGCTCGGGAGTGGATTCGGAGACTAGAGCAGGCTCGGGACTGGATTCAGGGACTGGAACAGATGCCACCGTCTCGGGAGATTCTGCAGTGGAGGCTGCCACCTCTGGGGGAACTGTGGTGGTGTGTGTGGCCCAAACACATAAAATGGCACTCTGGAATGGCGGCCATGACGGGATGAGACTCTGGAACGGTGGCCATCTTGGGAAGAGGCTCTGGTGTGGCGGCCATGTGAAGAGGCTCTGAACTGGTAGCCATAACGGGACCAGGCTCTGGAGTGGCAGATACTGCAGGAGTGCCGTGTTCCTCCTCCACAACACCCACAGTAAATGCAGAGCCACTCAATTGGAGTGCCAGATCAATGTAAAGCTCCAGAGTCCAGTGAGGATCATGCAAAGGCATGAGTGAACTGAGCGGCTCAGATAGCCCACCACAAAAAAATATCATCAGGCATACCTGGTCAAAAGGTGTTAAATAAGCCAGTCCAATAAAGTCCTCCACATAGTCCTCAATGGGTCGATCTCCCTGACGGAGACGAATTAACTGTGCTGCTGGATTCATGATAAGCCTGGGACGCTCAATAAAGCAGATGGATCCGGGTGGGCTCAGTATTCTGTAACGTGGAGGCGTGATAACGGGATTGGTGGATCCAAATGCAGGCTTTATTCAGAAGAGTGATCAAAACAGGCAGGGTCGAAACAACAGCAAACAATATAATCCAAGGCAGAGACAAAAGAGTAATCCACAAAAACAGGCAAAGGTCAGGTCAGGCAGCAAACAATCATAAAAACCAGGTAAGCAGTCCAGGGTCAAAGAACACAAAGGCAAGGAAACACAGAAAAACACAGGAACTCAGAAAAGCTACAGGCTAGCAATACTCAGCAGAGTGTGTGCGTATGTGAGTGCATCTTATATAGTGTGAGACTGATGAGGTGATGAGATACAGGTGATTGCAATGGGTGCTGAGTCCGGGCAAAGGGTTATGGGAAATGTAGTCTGGGGTTGAGTGGCAAGATTCAG